TTGTTACATCAAAGTGTATCAAGAATAATTTTGGGTAGAGTTCGCAGCAAGGCCTTCTTTAGGGCTACTAAGATAGTATATGGTCCAACCTCTCAAGGACTCAATCCTCCACGATCCAAATGGGAATCATAAATTGATGATGACATCTTCAACGAAATTCCACAGAAACCAATACAACAAGAACTGAGTGAGGTGCACTGATCAAAGGAGTTTGAGAAGGCAACTAAAGAACAATAAGTCAGCTGGTACTGACGGCATTCCTGCAGGATTCTTCAAACAAGGTCAAGGAGGCCCCACACTAAGTGCCCAAACCTACATCCTAAAATATGGATTACTGAGACCATACCTGCCGAACTTAGAGATACCTCCATAGTTGTCATTTTTAAAAAGGGAGACAAGGCTCAATGTGGAAATTACAGAGGAAAATAATTACTTATTTTTGCGGAAAAGCTGCTTCCAGGATATTATCAAATAGTCCTTGATACACCATAAGAAAAAAAAAACGATTACCAGCAAGCTGTAAGCTCGTGTATAGCTTAAGCGTAACGAGTCGGACAACTTTTCTACGTGGAAAAAGTTGGAGGTTTTCCTTCGGCACCGCGGGAAAGATGTCGATTTCATGATTTTAAGTTATGTGATAACCAGCAAGCTGATGCTTTTAGGAATGCTTAACTAGGTGTAGTAATGTGTCACTATAACATTGTCCGACAAAAATATTGGGTATTTCCACTCGTCCCCCACCCTAAACATGTTCTTTTTATGATTTTTGGTTATGTGATAATCAGCAAGCTGAAAGTTTCAGGAATGATTAATAAGGCGTAATTATGCGTCAGTATAACATTGTCCGACAAAAATGATGGGTATTTTCACTTGTCCCCCACCCTGAACATGTTCTTTTTATGATATTTGGTTATGTGATGACCAGCAAGCTGGAAGTTTCAGGAATGCTTAATTAGGCGTAATTGTGCGTCAGTAAAATATTGTCCGACAAAAATGTTGGGTATTTCCTTATTGTCCCCCGCTCTAAACATGTCGATTTCATGGTTTTGGGTTATGTGATAACCAGCAAACTGAAAGTTTCAGGACTGCTTAATTAGGAGTAAATATGCGTCAGTGAAATGTTGTCCGACAAAAATGTTGGGTATTTCCATATTGTCCCCCGCTATAAACATGTCGATTTTATAGTTTTGGGTTATGTGATAACCAGCAAGCTGGAAATTTCAGGAATGCTTAATTAGGCGTAATTATGCGTCAGTGAAATATTGTCCGACAAAAATGTTGGATATTTCCATATTGTCCCCCGCTCTAAACATATCGGTTTTATGATTTTAGGTTATATATGTACATGATGACATGTAAAAACTAGCAAGAAGAAAAAGGCCATAATGTTATAAAAACATGGTACGGATATATTATTAAATCATTACATAGACATTTAACAATTGATGTTTCGAGACATTCTATTATTCACATTCGCTTTGTACGCGCATTATGTAGGTAGGTACTATAAACCAAAATTATTTTCTAAACTTTTTCTGTCTCCTCACATAAATGGTATTTTAGCGCTATGAATCCTCATAGCACGGGTCATACATTCCATAAAATGTTCCTTTTCAGCTCAATGACAACTTTACAAATTCAGTTCCATAAAAACATTTGATGACCATAAGTGAGATTCCGAATGTAAGAGTGCAAAATGCTGTTGACTAATAATTGAAAAAAGGCTCAAATGTAATAGAAATGTTATTATAGCGCTTATAAATTATTTCCTGAAAAAAAAGGAGTCCAAATAATTATAGTTACTTTACAAAAATATGTTTTTACTAATCAACTAATATAAAAATTTAATATGGTTTAATTCATCATCTTCAGTTGAAATCTTGTAATGTAATAAAGTAGGTAATAATTTTATTTATTTATCATCGTCTGAATCCTCTTCGTCAATGTCAGTCATTCTTTCGCCCTCTTTGCTATCACTCTCATTGTCATTTGAGTCTGTAACAAAATAAAAATATAAATCTATAGGTTCTGATGGAGGAAAATTATTGATACGCACCGACAGATATTTCTTCAAAAGTTGGGCATTCGGGTCCATCGTACCAACATACTCATTTTGTATAATTGACCAACCACAATTTTCTGGATCCTGATGCCAGAAAATTGTGGTTGGTTAATTATACAAAATGAGTATGTCCATTACCCGAATGCCCAACTTTTGAAGAAATATCTGTCGGTGCGTATCAATAATTTTCCTCAACATCAGAACCTATAGATTTATATTTTTATTTTGTTACAGACTTTTTTCAATTATTGGTCAACAGCATTTTGCACTCTTACATTCGGAATCTCCTTATGGTCATCAAATGTTTTTATGGAACTGAATTTGTAAAGTTGTCATTGAGCTGAAAATGAACATTTTATGGAATGTATGACCCGTGCTATGAGGATTCATAGCGCTAAAATACCATTTATGTGAGGAGACAGAAAAAGTTTAGAAAATAATTTTGGTTTATAGTAGGTACCTACATAATGCGCATACAAAGCGAATGTGAATAATAGAATGTCTCGAAACATCAATTGTTAAATGTCTATGTAATGTTTTAATAATATATCCGTACCATGTTTTTATAACATTATGGCCTTTTTCTACTTGCTAGTTTTTACATGTCATCATGTACCATCGTCACCAAAAGTAACTGGGACACAAATAATGCATAATAATCTCCTGGACTAATTCTACTGTCATTCATTTCAATGCATTTAATGCATAGTTTGACAAATATTTGACAACAAAATTCATATAATAGGACAAGAGCTAATGTGATGCTGTCCCAGTTACTTTTGGTGACGATGGTATATACATATATAACCTAAAATCATAAAACCGATATGTTTAGAGCGGGGGACAATATGGAAATACCCAACATTTTTGTCGGACAATGTTATACTGAGGCATAATTACGCCTAATTAGGCATTCCTGAAACTTTCAGCTTGCTGGTTATCACATAACCCAAAACCATGAAATCGACATGTTTAGAGCGGGAGACAATATGGAAATACCCAACATTTTTGTTGGACAATATTTTACTGACGCAAAATTACGCCTAATTAAGCATTCCTGAAACTTTCAGCTTGCTGGTTATCACATAACCAAAAATCATAAAAAGAACATGTTTAGGGTGGGGGACAAGTGGAAATACCCAATATTTTTGTCGGACAATGTTATAGTGACACATTACTACACCTAGTTAAGCATTCCTAAAAGCATCAGCTTGCTGGTTATCACATAACTTAAAATCATGAAATCGACATCTTTCCCGCAGTGCCGAAGGAAAACCTCCCGCGGGTAAACTTTTTCCACGTAGAAAAGTTGTCCGACTCGTCACGCTTAAGCTATACACGAGCTTACAGCTTGCTGGTAATCTTTTTTTTTTCTTATGGTGTATCAAGGACCTATCTATAGGATTAGGATCTATATTTCATCTTGTTGAGGGTCACCTGCCGAGTGGGAATCCTGTACAGACTTGATCGCGACTTATTCAACCTAAACAAATTACGAGCCAAAAAAAAAAATCAATATGCGAATGATAACGTCGTGATGTCCAATACAGGGATCTTCAGGCAATTATCAATGCATTCAATCAAGCATACAGAATCGACCAAGAGGTCAATTTTACCAAAACGCAGAATCTGCACCAACCCGTACCGGGCACTCATCCCCAAGCCTCAATGTATATATAAATGGCCATTCCTTGCAGAACGTAGAGCACTACCTATAACTTGGGACCCATGTACCAGCAAATGCAACCATTGAACTGAAATCCAACATCGCTTGTAGTGTGCAGCGTTTGATCGACTTCTAGAGAGAGTCTTCAACAATCACGACATCAACGCCAAACCTCGTGTCTACAATGCAGTTGCACTTAGGTACATATGGCAGCGAAACATGGATCGCCGGTAGAAGAAACATAAAAAGCCTAGAAAAATACCACCAGCGAAACATCAACTTCGCTGGACAGGTCTCTCATCCGCCTGCCCGAAAAACATCTTTCACGACATATTCACCACAGTAAACTGGAAGAGGGAAAACTAAATCAATGAGGTCAACAAAAACGATACAAAGATGTTCTTGATGTTCTCATGTCTATCCTATATTCCTTCTGAGCAAAATAGTGTGATTTTCAGTACTTTTTTCGTCGCAGACTACTTACTAATCTTCAAACATTCACGGCTTTTGTATGTTTTTCCTATTCACTTTAGCTATAGTTATAGAAAAGTTCAAAATAATTAATAAGTGTTAATGATACGCCCTAGACAGTGGAAGCTCAATTATTTAAGTAAAACCTTCCATTTTTAGTTTATTTGAATAGAAAATTGGCATAACTGGACACGATAAGAAAGTAGAGTATGGGTTTCGATCGAATCGAATAGTTATTTATATATCCAGTGTCGTAAGAATAGTTCTATTGTCGGAAGTGTGAGAAATGTATTAAAGTAATTGAAACCTATAATCAATAAATTATCCTAACGAATATACCAGTATCGCTACTGAGAAGAAAAATTGTGCATTTGACAATTCGACCATTTATCTAATCGATCATTTATCTATTCGATTATCTGTCCGACCAGTTATTTATCTTTCGTCCATTTACGCAGCGAACATTAATATTAAGTATGTTTTATTAAGAAGCACTGGAATCACGAACTTCTATACTAATGAATTCAAGTGTGATAGTCACTATGAAAGTTTCGAACCAAATTAATTTATAACTTCTTACTCAATATTTGTTTTATATGTTGAATGTGATCACCTCGCCGGGAATTTGATTATCTCCATTATATATACTCATATCCCAATGATCAGATTCTAATGAACCCACCAAATTTTCTGATTGCCACTTAATCTATTAAATAAACCCAAAGGGAATCAAAAGGCATGGGAACAGTAAGCACACATCATATTGGATGGCGAACAAATTGTTCTCGTTGTTATTCTTACCTGTTTTCCATTCTACATTTATTATCGCGAACTTTACAATGCGTTTTAAAATCCTCATAGAGTTTAATGCATTTGGCTTCTTGTTGACATACGAAATGAGCATGAGTGCAAGTGGGCAAGGCGTCAACTGGATAAGGATCTTTTTCTGTAAATAGCATTTTTAAGAACTGGTTTGTTTCTTGAACAACATTATACCTTTTTCTTTAACAAACACACAAGGATGGTCGAACAAGAAATCCCTGAAGGTGTTACACTCTGGATCCATGTGCGGTTCTCGACAAAGACAGGTGGGCTTAAAGAATGGAAACGCTTGCAGCGTACGCAGTGCCGCTTGGCATTTTGTTACCGTTATTGTTGAGCAAGCGACTAAAACAAGAAAAAAATTTAAAATGCAATTCCGGAAATAGCGCGGGTAGGTACTTACCAACTTCCGGTCCACAAACTCGAGGTATGATTTCTAAAATTGAAGAACACGAGCTGTCGTTGAAACAAAGCTGCCTGGCAGTTATACAGTTTAGTATGGATACTGTTGTCTTTGCGTTGGAGCCTGGAACAAAAATGTAGCATTTACGTTAACTATAAAATATATTTCAACGAGAAAAAAAAACGGTAGTTGTACTATAAATACGGTAATTATAGGGTAATTTCGGTAATTAGAGGGAAAAATACCGTAATATTTAAGGATTCCACGATTCCACATACCAACGAGGTATGGCGGGAGCAGGAGCGGAGACAAAGCGGGACTAAAACATGTGGCGGGATATAATACATTTCACATTACAACGTATTTCGTTTACATAAGTAAGTAAATCTTCCTGCATCTATGGCACAATTTGATTAGGTACTTAAAGGGGGTGTGACCCAAAAATGAAAGTTTTAGTGCAAAAAAAATCTAAGAATAAATATTCAAACCTCATCTTGTTACGATGGTCCGTTTTCGAGTTAGGCCGGTTTAAAGTTACAACTAGGCGTTTGTGACGTCACACTGGATTTTCAGTACAGTATTAACACGTGTGAGAATTCTCCAAAACAAAATATAATTATCTCCTAGAGCGAATTGCAACCACTCAGAGTATAGGGTACTGTTCACTGACGACTGAACGACCAGAAGACTGCGATTTCGGCGGTTGACTATTTTGAATATAGGACTGCAGTTTTCACGAGAGATCTTAGAATTATTTTCTTAATTTAAGTAGCTTAAGTCGGTTTTTAGGGTCACACCCCCTTTAAGTTATGTTCCCCAAATTGATGGGAATCCTTGCGAGCTAAATAAAACCCGTCATTTTGCAAATTCCTCTTGGCAAACAGAACGTCTTATCTACTTAAAACACTTTATCGATACATTTCGAGTGCTGAAGTTATGCCCAAATCAAGATCTTGTCCTGACAAAAAAAAAAACGCGAATGAAATATCTCAATGTTATTTTATTATGAGAGAGTACCAAGGAATTTAATAATTCGGGAGACTTATTAAATTTATTCTGCAACTAGGTACGTGGATCATACAAGACACGAGACATACAAACATTTAGCTTTGGAAGCTTTTTGTTTCCGAGTTGATACAGTTGAAGGGTAAAGTATTACCATTATCAATTGAAAATCGCATCTCTATGGTGAGTACTCAAAATTAGAAAAATACCTCTTATAATAATATAAAATAATTTTTATATTTTTATGCCTAGTCCTGGTACACTATAACAAAGACCGCACGCCGGCAAAAAAACTTGAAAATTGTCGGCGATGCCGCTGGGCTTTATCGCTTGCCGACAAAGCTGAGCCGCTCTTGTTGACAGTGTGAGATATTCTCTTTAGAAGTGGACAAAAGTATAGAATTACACAGATAATTGAATAAAAATCAATTTCAAATTTGAATTTTTAATAAAGGAATAATATTCCCATTCAAATATTTATGTTTGATTTATTTCAATAGTTTAAAACGGAATTTTAAGGATTACCTACTATATGAATTTTGCCCATTTATTTAATGTATTAACTCCACTGTATTCTAGAGGTAAATCAGCTAGAATTTCGGGGCAATGGCGTTCGTCATATCAGTTTTTATAGAAATATCTGGAGTATGTTTATTGTTTATTAACCAATTTGTTTTCATGTGTCATGATAATAATATTTAGACGCCTATGGATTCCCACGTGACTTCAAAGAGATCAACTGAGCCGCCTTTTTTATGAAGTTTCAATTAATAATGGTTAAACTTTAATCAGGTCGACGGCGACCTGTTACATATTTTTTATAAATAAGATAATGTAAAACTTCGCACTCTTTCAACTGGCAAAACAGCATAAGCAAGAAGGGGCATTTACTTAATAATATCATAGTTGGTCAAATTGGGAAATGTCCGCGTGCAAAATTGAATAAGGGGTCACTTCAGTTCCGACAGTTTACTTCTGCCATCTGCCACGTAATTCAATGTTATTGTTGTGCTGTGTTTTGTGTTTTCACTGTTTGTGTCATGTATAACTAGGCAAGCAATGATACTAATAATTAATTGTATGGCGTCAATAGATGTAGCTGAGAGCTATTTTAATTTTAGGGTTATATGCTATATGCAAGTTGAATAATCAAGTAAACAAAGAGTTTTTTTGTGTTCCGTGCAAATATTTATCAAAAGAAAGTTCGAAGCGCTTTCGGACGTAATAAAAGAGCCAGCTTGATATGAAAGTAAATAGTGAATGGACGATACCATATTTTACAAAATTCACAAATAGTCCAAGAAACGGGGATCTGAAAAGAGGGTTTACCTCGACATAATTAGAAGTTGAATTTTTTTGGGGGGGGGGGGATCGGTCCATTTTAATATGCTAAATTACATATTAAGTTTGCGACTTTGTACTTCTATAGGGTTTTTAGTTAGGGGTGGTTTTTAGGGGTAATTTGCGGTTTATGGAGAACGCTGCTCAAAGGGATGGTCCAATAACAAAAAGTTTCGAATGATTGTTGTAGCTGAAGTTTTTTGCTATATAAAACTCCGCGACAGCACCCCTTTATCTTCTATAGTTTTTTTTCTGCAGCGTCTTGAATAGTACCATGTTTTTCTTCAAGGTCACTGAATCAACGTTTCGCCTGTTTGCGCGCCTTTGATGCAGCAGCGGCCGAATTCATAATCCGATTTCAATTTTTCAAACACCACATTATTGCTAATGAAATGCACTCTCCAATGCTTTTTGTTCGAATTTTTTGCTTGAAAATTAAGCGAGCACGGACTTGCTTAATGTGAGAGGAAATTGTAAATTGCTTCGAAAACTACCCCTTTCTTGCATTCACTGTAATTTCTAAACGGGGCCAAATATTTGGCGACAAATTTCGATAATCGGCAGCCCATTTATTCCTCTCATAATGCCCCACCGGATTTTTTTTTCATGTATTACTCAATAACTTATTGGCCTGAACACGTGGCGCGGAATTTTTCAAAAAGTCAAAAAATAAAATAAAATTGTCGCACAGCGCTGAAATTTGGTACGATAGCTTTATTTATTGTTCTTATAAATATACTGCAATTTTAACTGCTTCACATGACTGCTGCAACAATTAGAATTGCAGAATAGTCATGAGAACAATAAATATAAAGCCATCGTACCAAATTTCAGCGTTGTGCGACAATTTTAATTTTTTTTTTTGAGTTTTTGAAAAATTCCGCGTGACGTGTTCAGGCCAATAAATCATTGAGTAATTAACGAAAAAAAAAAAATCCGCTGGGACATTATGAGAGGAATAAATGGGCTGCCGATTGTCGAAAACTGTCACCAAATATTTGGCCCCGTTTAGAAATTACAGTCAATGCAAAAAAGAGGTAGTTTTCGATGCAATTCACAACTTCCTCGCACATAAGGCAAGTCCGTGCTCGCTTAATTTTCAAGCAAAAAATCCGAACAAAAAAGCATTGGAGAGTGTATTTCATTAGCAATAATGTGGTGTTTGAAAAATCAGATTATGCATTCGGCCGCTGCTGCATCAAATGCGCGAAAACAGGCGAAACGTTGATTCAGTGACCTTGAACAAAAACATGGTACTATTCAAGGAGCTGCAGAAAAAAAAAATATAGAAGATAAAGGGGTTCTGTCGCGAAGTTTTATATAGCAAAAAACTACAGCTATAACAATCATTTGAAACTTTTTGCTATTGGACCATCTTTTTGAGCAGCGTTCTCCATAAACTGCAAATTACCCCTAAAAACCACCCCTAACTAAAAACCCTATGGAAGTACAAGGTCGCAAACTTAATATGTTATTTAGCACATGAAAATGGACCGATCCCCCCCAAAAAAATTTAACTTCTAATTATGTTGAGGTAAACTTCCTTCATTGCTTGGCCTAAAACAGGTTTAAACGTTTATGGTAGATTTCGTTCGTTCGCCTTGGAGGCTTTTTGTATTTCATTATACAGTCTACAGGGTGTCCCACCGGGAACCAAATCGATCTATATATGAAAAACTGTATGCAGAAAATGTTTGAAAATTTGCCAGTATACTAATGTCAATGGGGGCAACCCGGCTAAAAAAAATTCAAGGTAATGGCTCTTCCGGTTATACCGGAAGTAGACGTCAACTTGCTTATTTTAAATGAGACACCCTGTATGTGATTGCATGTTTGGATTCTACGTAAAATTCTGAGCCGATTTTACATTCCTGTCTTAGATTTCATAAACTATCATTTGACACCAATTTTGAATTTAAGCGGACATTAAATTTGACTGGAATTTTTAATCATGGATTAAATTCAAAGTTGGTGTCAAATGAAAATTTACATGAATGTAAAATAGGTTTACCTCTAAAATTAACCGTTTAGGTTTTACAGCCTGTCAAAGTTACAAAAAGTCAATTTTCAACAGCCAATATTTCCAAAACACTTGAACTTAGGTATAGGATATGTCACATGAAATCTGCTCGGAATTTTACGTAGAATCCAAATAGGCAATCACATACATGGTGTCTTATTTCAAATAAGCAAGTTGTCGTCTACTTCCGGTATAACCGGAAATGCCACCATCTTGAAAATATTTTAGCCGAGTTGCCCCCATTGACATAAGTATACTGTCAAATTTTCAAAGAATTTCTGCATACAGTTTTTCATATAAAGATCGATTTGTTTCCCGGTGGGACACCCTGTATAGACTTCTCCTTCTCATTCATAATTGCAGACTAGATGATTGGCAGCAGTGGGACCGACCTACCGTCCCGTAACTTTATCTTTTTCGACTCACTCTATACCAAATATGGAGTTAAAAAAATTCTCCTAACTTTTTCTTATTTTCTTTAAATTTATTTTTAAAATACTTTTATTTGTTACCCTTATTTGGGCCACCCTGTATACTCAAAAATATGTTCCTAAAATAGAGTCTTACGAATAGTATAGGTTAACATATTGTCACATCCGCTATACGTTTCGTCCTGGGACGTCACAACACGAGCGTGACCTGGTGGCGTAGGTGGGGTTCAGGTAGAGAGAAACTCGCTTAATATAGGTACAATAAGATATGTATTGAATATATACAGTGTGTCCCGCTTAAGGACTGACCACCCTTCTAAAATTTT